CCCCCCCACACACACACACACGTACTCACACTCCGATACCCAATTACTCAAGTGCACACATACTACATGTATGTATACACTTTACACAAAGTGCGGACCAGTCCGACGGATCTCCAACCAGATTATGATGGAGACTATAAGCAGACAGACTCTGGGATGGATTCTGAAGAGGGAAGGGGGAGGAGGGAAGAGCAGAAATGCACATGTTCCGACTGTAGTGACCCCAACACTGAGGACAAGGTGTGACAAGGTGTGACAAGGTGTGACAAGGTGTGATAAGATGTGACAATGTGTGACAAGGTGAGACAAGGTGTGACTTTACACAAAGCGCACGCTTGGGGGCTCTCGTGGCCAAGAGGTTAAGGTGTTGGCCTCTCATTCAAAGGTCCCGGGTTCGATTCCAGGTATGGACCGAACAATTTTCTTCTCTAAAATTGTCTCCTTTCACCTCCTTTCCTGCTCTCTAGCAATGTTCTGTCGTCTGCTTTCGTCTCCTCGGGGGCAAAATTCAAAAGTTCCCACCAACTGAAAAAGTTTAATGTGTCCCGCGCGCTCATATGACCTTATGCGAGCGCCGTAAAACACTTTTTTTAAAAACAAAGTGCGCGTTAAAAATATCCCCAATAATTATCTCTACATGTCTCGATACATCACCTATCAGTTTCTGCTGACAGTCAAGATCTTGTGAGAGTAATGTCCCTTGGGCCATCGACCTTCGTGCGAGGATGATTATCAACAGGAAGGAAGAGTACACTGCCCCTGTGCAGGAAGTAGATATATGGAAGAAGATAAAATTAATTAATCTTGACATTTGGCAGTTTGGGATATATCCATTTAGATTCCAATTTGTCAATGTCGGCTGAGGAGGATTCATCTTTAGATGCTGCTTGTACATGTATTCAGAATAAGAAATCTCAGTTAAATAAATAAATGATAAAAATAAATGAATTACATTTTTATTTGTCCCCAAAGGATTTCCAGAAATGTTGACCTACACCAAAAGTGGGCTTTTACCCCACCTATAGGAGAAGTTTGTTTTAATTGGTGTGTATATTTGTTTGATGGCTATAGAGAAAACTCTCCTTGTCTTTTAAAGAAACTGAACTTTACCTTCGATTTTCTCAAAACAGCTTGTGCTTAAAAGCGCCCAATTATATTATTCCTATGGAATGGGATTTATAAAACGCAGGAATGCGCCTTTATTTCCCGGCCCGCTCCTTTACTAATTAACTTTCGTGCCTGGCAGTGATGGGGTTAATAGCATACACAGCTTTATTAATAAATATGTGAGGCAGCGTGGTGGAATCAGAATCTCGTCAAAATAATCAAAGTGAAGAAACTTGCATTTTTCCACAGGTTTGTGAATTTTTATCAAATGTTTGTTTTTTGGCTCAACACCTTTCATGCCCATCAAAGCTTTTCTGAGAGTGGATTTTTCCGAAAAACATAAATTTTAAGTTACCACGGACTCTTAAAGTAAGGAAATAACTAATCTTTGGCAGTCATTTTCTCATAATTCTACCTCTGAAAAAAGGTGACCCTCATCTCCTTCATTCTCAAATATTTCGACTTGTATCCAAGGTAAATGGATATTTGTTTCATCCAAATAAAGACAAGTGAACAAGCTTTAAGATGATACCAATAACTCTACGTGCTGTATCATTTCAATCTTTTTCAGAATCCCTGCCAACAATTTGCGCGAATTTAGGTCTGTCAAACCCTTTGCATCTAAAAAAAAAATTTTATTGACAGTGAAATCATAAAGGGATAGTGTGTTCCTGTTTCTTGACCCATACTGGTTATTGGGAATCCCAGTACACTTAATTTAGAGCCCAAACAAAAATTTTCATTTCAGCTGTACCTAGTTCCCCGCACATCTCCGAAAAGACCGAACCTAGTGGGAAAATCGGGTAATGTGACCGTGGTGAGGAGGAGGAGGAGGAGGAGGAGGAGGAGGAGGAGGAGGAGGAGGAGGAGGAGGAGGAGGAGGAGGAGGAGGAGGAGGAAAAGAAAAAGAAAAAGAAGAAGAAGAAGAAGAAGAGAAACGCGGTCTTGGATATTACTCTCTATATCTAGTAACACAGTCTTGGATATTACTCTCTTGTAACAGCTCAAATCTTTGGACATTTATATGACCTATTTATATAGCAAGTACAGTAAAACTCTTATGAACGTCAAAAAGAATCTAAATATTTTATTATTTTACTCACAGGTAAAAGATGAAAATGGTGAATGGGCCAACATGCTGGCCAGATACAACACATCCTTCACGACTGACCAAAGAAAAAGAAAAACCAACGGATGAGCTTTCTGAATTGTCCAAATGTTGTAAGTGTTAAATCCTTGATGGCAGCAAAGTCCCCTCATAAACAAGCGCACTCATAAACGTGTAGTTTCACCACAACATAACTCAACTGGAATCACTTCTTGTTCTAATCCGTTGTTTTTCTCATCTCACCTTGAACTTTTCACCTCACATTTTGCAACTTGTAATACTGGTAAGAATTTATAAAGGTTACCTCTAGAAAATCTCATAGTAATTTTCAGGTAACGAGCAATATCGCAAGTAGAAATCTACTCCAAAGGAAGAAAAACCGACGCTTGATTTTTAAAAAGCATACTAAAACGTGTGCTATGTTAATATATTTTAAATCACGAAACAATCAAAAAATATTATTGAGCCCAGTGAGAAAACACGTCACCAGTAATGTCACACGTGAAAGTTAATCCTTTCTGAAGCTTATGGGGCACAAGTATTTTCGATTGCCCATCCTTGCACCCCCCACATCATGTCCACAAAGCGACGACCAGACTGGGAGCTGGCTTGTTAACTTTCGCCCACCCCCCCCTTTTTTTTTTTGAGTCAGCATCCGTTCTACTTTTACATTCGACTCCAGATTCAAGCCATCTTGATCGACAGAGGTGGGAGGGAGGGAATATTAATTTGGCGGGTTTTCGATCGACGGAAAAGGGCTGCAACATTACTACATTATGCATCCGAAACAAATCTGGACTCCGTGCACACTGCGCTCAGCGCACTAACATGTTTTCATGCTGTCTTCTCATGGTGTGGTCCACGTCGAATGTTTGAGGAAATGGTTACATGGATGGATGGATGTGAATGTGACCCTCGCACACACGCACGCACGTACGTACAACTTTGCTGTACCAGTGACCAGTGCACGCCTTGTGTGAACGTTCGCGGGGTCAGAGATCATACACACGCACAGGTACATTCATTAAGGCCTTCTCCCCACACCAACCGACATTAAGAGTAGTTTTTTGTTTTTCGACTGTCGTCGGTTTAGTGATTTTTTATATTTGTTTGGGGGGAGGGTGTTTCACTTTGTTTTCAATGTGGTTTTTGCTGTTGTTGTTGTTGTTGTTGTTGTTGTTGTTGTTGTTGTTGTTGTTGTTGTTGTTGTTGTTGTTGTTACAAAGTTCTATCTGCCCAGTACTCAGTTTTGAGAAATTTGACGTCAAAACTTTTCAGTTCCACGTGTTAAGCGTTTTCAAATGCAATTCTTTGAAAAAATATCTTGACAACGACTCCGAATAATCTTACGATTTTGAAAGAACAGATAGAATTACGGTTGTTGTTGTTGTTTTGTGG